GCCTGCCCAGCCTGTGCCAGCTTCCCTCCCCATGCAGACCCTTGCGCTGGTGGTCAGCTGCTCCTGGCTTCTGCCATGGCATTGGACACTGCTGGCCCTTGTGTGCCTGCCTGCAGATTTGGGCAGCAGTGGGATTGCCCCAACACCCATGCAATCATTTGAGCTTGGACCCAGTTGCAGAGCCCCTGCAAGAAGAGGTTAAGCTGAGGTGGCGGCAGCTGGACAAAGCTGGCTGCCCCCTGTCACCAGCCAGCCCTCAGCCACTACTGTCCACAGCCACACCACTCACAATGGCTGCATTTTTTTTTTTCATGGCTATAAAGCAAAGCAAGAATTTCTGCTGAGGGTTTATGCAATGACAGCTCACAGCTCAGTGCTGATCATTTGCTGTTTGACTGAAGCAGTGAGAATAATGGGCAGCCTGTTTAAAGTGCTGGCTGCTGTGCTAACATACAAAGTGCTACAGAGCTTTCATGGCAGCCTGGAGAAACCCAGCAGACAATCAGACTCGGTGCCAAAGCACGTGTGGCAGGAGGACGGTGTGACAGCCCCTTTGTGGCTGCCGGATTTTGCAGTCCAAGACACTGCCCCTTGTCCTGTGCAGGGCCTGGCTCAGCACCTTGGGCAGCCCCGAGGCAGAGCTCACGGCCTTGCTCAGGGCCAGCACGTTTCTGGTACCACATGAAATTGCCTTTTACAGCATTCCCTGGTAGCAGCGAGGCTGCAACAGGTCCCGCACTGACTCAGCACATGACACTTGCAAAGTAAAGCCATAAGCCCTGTTCCCAAATTGATTTTGCCATTCTGCCACCAGTGATGTGATGAGGGTGGGACAAGTGATGGCAGTGTGCCACAAGCAGCCACTGCCTGGACAGGGAGCCCTGAGCCCACTGCTGCCATCGAAGATTTCCCACAGACAGGCGATGCTGCTCTGTGCCACATCAGCACTCTGTTGCAGCCCTGGTGTTGCTCATGCATTGCTGCCTGGGGAGCCTGGTGTGCCCCGTCCCCACACAGCCTTCCTCAGGGCCCCCCGCACCTCCTGGTTGCGGAGGCTGTAGATGAGGGGGTTCAGCATGGGGGTGACGATGCAGTACAGTGTGGAGACCAATATGTCAGATGCCGGGGAGTAGCCGGAGCTGGGCCGGTTGTAGTTCAGATTGGCTGTCGCAAAGTACAGGATGACCACGAGCAGATGGGCAGAGCATGTGGAGAAAGCCTTGTGCCGGCTGGTGGCCACGGGCATCCTGAGGACAGTGGCCAGGATGCGGAGGTAGGAGACGATGACAAGCAGGAAGGGGCTGAGGCCCACAAAGACGCTGGCAGCATGGAGTGCCACTTCGCTGGGGTGGGTGTTGCTGCACGCAGCCCTGAGCAGTGGGGGGACGTCACAGAAGATGTGCTGGAGCTGGGCAGCCCCGCAGAAGGAGAGCCTGGTGGCCAGGAGGGTGTGCACGGCCGAGTCCAGCATCCCCCAGAGCCAGCAGCCGGCAGCTGCCCCAGCACAGATGCCCCGGCTCATGGCATGGGCGTAGCGCAGGGGCTGGCATATGGCTGCGTAGCGGTCATAGGCCATGACAGCCAGGAGTGCACACTCGGCCCCTGCACACCCCATCAGGAAGAACATCTGTGCCAGGCACCCACAGTAGGAGATGGTCGCCTGCGGGCGCAGGGCATTTGCCAGGATCTTGGGCACCGTCACTGATGAATAGCAAATGTCCAAGCAGGACAGGTGACTGAGAAAGAAATACATGGGGCTCTGGAGATGGGGATCCAGGGACACGAGGGCGAGCATTACAGAGTTCCCCAGCAGCGTGGCCAGGTAAATGACCAGGAAAAGAACAAAGAAGAAGGGCTGGCCATGGGAAAAGCCCAGGAGCATGAACTCCGTCACATGAGTATGGTTCTTGCTTGCCATGGGACTAGTTGGGTTGGTCTGTGGGCAGAAACAAGTGCTGTGAAGAGGAGGAGGTGATTGTGAGCCAGGAGACTGGACCACAACCACCCATGAGACAAGGGTTTCATTGGTAGGATGGCTTTGGTCCTATCTGCACAGTGGTTGAAAGTTTCATATGTTGGGATTTCACAGATACTAGGATTTTAGAGTCCAGAAAGCTGCCATTCAATGTTGGATACCTGACTGCAGGAGAATAACACAGAAGAAACCAAGAACGGCATGCATATAGACTAACTCACACCTCCTGGGTTCTCCTGCCAGCCCAACTCCCTGTCTTTATGAGTATATCAAGGATGTCTCTCTTTTCCTTCTGGTTGCACTTATGGCAAGTACATGCTTCCCTGCCCCCTGGACATGGTCACATCATTCCTTAGAAGCCACAGCCACTAAGCTTGCTCTTCCCCAGCCACTGGGTTGGGGATGTGGCATCACCCTACACCAGTTAAATTTTTTTTCTTTATCCTGTCTCCTGTTCTGCCATTTTTTGGGTGCTTTGCTCTGTGATAACCAGCACTTAAAAAAGCACAGGTTCCAACTGAGGGTGACTCACCACACGGCGTCTGTTGAGCCACAGGCAAATTTAAGCCATCAGGGATCTCCACTGGCCTGGGCCTCCTGACCTTTCTTCCATCATCTTATTTCAATTGTCATCCTGACAGAAGGGTTTTACTTACTGGCATGTGAAGCTACGATGACCACGTCCACATGATGGACGAGGCATGGGGAAGCAGTTATTGCTCATAAACCTCAGCCAAGGGCTGTTCAAGGTGGTGCTTGCTGGGTGCTTGTGGCCAGGGCTGCTGCTGTGCACTACACCAGTGCCATGAAGCCCAGCAGATGTAGACCAGGTGCTTTGGTGCGCAAATATGGCCTGGAGCAGCAGCCTCTGTGAGGCTGCTGAAGAAACGGGGCTGAGAGAGGTTAAAAACCGCCTGCAGTCTTGGGATGCAGATCTGTCCTAGCCAGCACTAAGCATGGGCGCACGCTGCACTCAGCCAGTCTGAAACCAGGGACTACTGGGTGAGGAAAACGACTGAGAGAGGGTTAGGCTGACATATATGGCACTAAGGGGGCAAACAGGGCTGGAGAGCACCAGGGCGGACTGCAGCTGCATGGCAATACAGGGCATCTTGGGGCACCACACATGACCTTGGGGCTCTGCATAATAAAATCCTGTTCTCCCTATGCAGCTTTTTCTTTGGCTCCACTTGACTGCCTCAGTAGATGTTAGGACTCTAAACTATTCCCGAATCAAAGAATAAGGTAACTGGCCAGTATACTGGCCATCGCTGAGCAAGCGTTTGCCTGGAGCTGCGGCAGGACCAGTGCTGGCCTCTGGGCAGGGTCTCGCTGACAGCACTGGGATATGGCTGGAGAGCAAGGGAGGACCACACATCACTGAACTCAAGGATTTAGTTCCCTGGTATTTTGACTTGGAAATGGTACACTTCAAAGCAAGGCCTGCCTTGTACAGGGCAGCTGTGAGCAGCTTTTCCTTACAGATAACTGACAAAGCTCCTGTGGTCAGGATTCAGCAACGTTCCCAGACGAGCTATCCGTTCATGTAAAGTTCCATTTACTGAACATTAAAGATGTCACCTGATGGCTATGCAGGGGCTCATTGCCACTATATAAGACCAAAATGAATATGACAAAAATAAAAAAGAAGAAAGCATTCCCTTCCTCTTCATAGATGTGGTTTTAGCAACTGAGGTCAATTGTCACATCTCCTCATGAGATTAAAAACACACAGTTACATTTCAGGTTGGTACCCTTGCTTTGCACCCGTTCTTGCATCTGTTTTTAATTTCTCTGTCCAAAGCATGTATCTACAATTTAGTCATGATTTTTAAATGCTGAGCAATGGAGAATTCATTGTTTCTGTTGGGAGTTTTTTTCTTATAGGTACTTACTGCAAGACACTGTCAAAGTGCTGTTAAAAATTGTGTGCTTCTTTCCTGTTGGAATTGCTCGGGTGTCAGCAATGTCTCATTCGGAATTTCCAGGTCTTTCTCTTCCAGATCTATCTATTCTAACAGTATTTTCTCCTTGCTTCTACTTGTGCACTGTGGTGAGTATCAGTGTTTGCTAAGTAGAAGAAGAGCTAAGTCCTGATTAATTTATCTTTTACTCTTCATTTTTTCAATATTTTTTTTATTTCAATATTGAGAGGAAAACTTTCAGTCAAAAGACTAATTCTTCTTTGCCTAGCATAACAACATCCAGACTTGTTACTCCATCTTGGACGTGGGTGCTACAAGGCTGAGACACCACTGCCTGGCCAAGCTCTCCAGCAGTCTCCCAGGTCAATATATTCTTATAGCTTTTTTTTTTTTTAATTACTAATTTTGCATATATTGGACAGGTACATAAGGACTGTATCATCCAATATTGTGGAAATCTCAGACCACTGCTTTTCCTCCAGCCAGCCCCCAGCCAAAGCCCCGTGCATTTTGATGCAAGAACAGCCCAAATTGTTTGGCCCAGTGTTGCAGCCAGGAGCAGGGGCCCGAGAGGGACAAGAGCTGGGAGAGACCACATCAGGAATGAGCTCCTGTCCCCAGCTGTCCCTGTCTGCAAAGCTGCATAACGTGCACGTTGATCTGTACAAATTCAAAATTACCTATGTGTGAACTTTCATAGCACTAAGGCAAAGGCAGTTGGTGAGTTTTTTTAGGGCAGAAGTGCCTCCATGGTGTAGGCATGAGATGGGAAGGCTCTGTCCAGGACCTTGTGGGATGCTTTTACTACCAACCTGTTAGCCAGGGGCAGGAGTCTGCTGCCAAGTTACGGTGAAGCTGGCACCAGTGAAGGTGGGGGTCTGCCTGTTACATAGGAGGAATAGGGGACCAGAATGGAATAGGAACCAGAGTGATCAAAATAAGAATAAATTTCATAGTAGGAGGCTAGGTGTGTAGGGGTTAGTCACTTGTTTATGCTCTGAACTGGGGCTCAACACTTGGAAATAAGAACAGGTGAGCAAGAGGTGGGTGAGCCCATCACATGCTACCAGTGAGCCCTCGGTTCGATGTAGGTACACAGCTATGACATGTAAGTGATCTTACTTGCAGCAGCAGCAACAGCAGGGAGTTGTTAGCTCCACTGCAGGAAGGACAATGAATTCCAGAGAGCTGCAGATGATGCGCTTTCCATGCTGCCAAATTCAGGCTACAGGGCTACAGTACAGCTGTAGGAGTCGTGCAGAGGCATGACCCGAATTTTTCATCATGGTTTGGAGCCATGTAGCGGTCAGAAAACGCAGCCACATGACAAGAAATACCAGATTTAAACCCTTTGTCCTTAGACATCCCGTACATGATGAAATACTGCACAGGAATGAGCCTTGAAAGAGTCTCCACTTTGCCTCAGCTCCTTCCCTCCATCTCCCTCTCTCACTTGCATGGCAAGCGATTTCTCATGTTAACTAATGACTTACCAAGCATTTCCCAGTGCAGCTACACCTTTGCCCACCACTGACCAGTCCAGAAAAGCTGGAGAGGTCGCAGTGAGGGAGCACTGATGCCATCAGTGCTAGGGTGGCAGCTGGTTTCTGTCATTCCCCTTGGGAGAAGGAATCGCCCTGACCAGTGCAATGGTGATGGACTAGTCTGAGACCCAGCTCCGCTCTGGTGCAGTCCCTGAAGCGGGGTGCCTTACGTCGCCACTGTGCACTTCTGCATAGCTCCAGCATTTTGGGGTGTGTTTATGTCACCCTTCCTCCTACAGGAGGCCAGATGTGCTCTGTGCCCACCCAGGGAAGTCTGCTGCTCCTGCAGGAGGATGTGGCTTTCCTCACAAGCCACCACATCCCATTTGCACTCAGGTGAGCAGACCAGATAGCTTGGAGCATACAGCCATGGGACATAAGGTCCTGAGCCTTAGGTCAGGACATATGGTCCAGTCCCAGTCTGAGGTGATGGCTGGACTGAGGAAGCTGGCAGTAACGCAGGATTAATTTCTCCTGAAAAAGGACTGGTTTGTTTTGTTTGAGGCATCACCAGCAGCCACAGCCTGCTTGCATGCCCAGACCACCCAGGAGCCCTGGGTGCCAGTACTGGGTGTGCCCCCCAGATAGGGTGCTGATAGGAACCCCCATGATGGTTCCACCATGAGTGGGGCCCTGCCCCACCACGGGCAGCACTCCTGCCCTCCCAGCCCTCCCTTACCTCCATGTCCAAGAACAAACAGCCATCCAGTGCTTGGTAAGAGGGAAAGACTAGCAATGTCCCCAGATGCTGTCCAGTTTGTCTTACCTGCATGAGGAAAAGCCTGCGTGTCCTCGAGGCTTGCAAGCGGAGGAGAGGCTTTTAACCCTGCGAGGGCCCTGGGGGAGAGGCTTTCAGAGGAAGTTCTTGTTCAGTGGCAGGAATGATGAGCAGAGGAGCACTCCCCCAATCAGCCTGCACAAGTGGGATCTGAGCCCACAGGACAAAACCCTCCTGGCACAGGGCCCACCTTGGTCTCCTGTTCTGCTCCAGGCTGTGCCAAGAGCAGACCAGCCAGAGCTCTCTAGCCCTGGTCTGCTCCAGCTCTGTGGCAGCTCTTGATGTACCTGGGCTGCAGCACAACCGACCATGGCACCCTGGGCCGTTGGAGGGTGACTGGCTGGGGAGGCTGAGAGCTGCTGTCCCTGTGCCCCAAGTCCTTGTTTATGACCCTGTTTTATCTGTTACAAGGGTATGAGGTGCCTACACTGGCCAATACCAGCAGAGAGGCAGCAATGAAGAGGGATGGCCACTGGCCACACTTGCAGCAACACAGCCATAAGGTGACTGCATGGCATCTGCACCACATCCATGCTCCCACCATCTACAATAACCATGCCCACCTGGCCCAGCCTGTGCAGGGCTCTCCGGAGCGGAGAGTGTGGTCCAGGGGACCAGGAGAGAACATGGCCATGGTGGGACTGATCTGGCAGCAGCTCTGACTGGCCTTAGTTAAGGCACCGAGTAGGGTCCTGTGAGTGCTTGAAGAGCGAGGCAGCAGGATTATGTGGACTTGCATGGGGTGAATGCTGCCTGCTCCGAGCCTGGAGCCATTCCTGATAGAAACAGCAGGTTTAGCTGGAATTCACCACATAGTGCCATGGAAACGTAAAGTGGAAAACCCAGAAAATGTAAAGACTGCAACAGGGAGTGAATCTGGAGCTCAGGACTGAGACATCACTGTTTCTGCAGCAGGCATACAGCACAGTATTGCTTTATTGCAATCTTTTTGCAACTTCTGTTTCCTGTTGATTGGGCAATAGGAGCTGATCCTATAATAAGCTCTATCTGAAATT